TCCCAGGTCCAGAGAACAAAGGCTGTGATCAGGAACGCAGGGTCCCGAAGCACAAGGACCTGGGCTCCCGTAGGGGCCTGGCACTGGGCCTGGGAAGGTCTTTGTTTGAGTGTCCAAGCCCAGAGTGTGCGGATCCCCACCCAGTAAACACACCACTCACACTTGTAAACAAGGCATAAAACAGACATTTGGGTAAATGCATGAACAAAAATGCAAGGAGGTTCAAACTCTGTCGCTATGAATAAATAGGACTTTGTTTACAAAGCAATGAGTTCCATGAACAGACCCTGCTCTGTCCACAGCTGTGAAGGTCAAAATTCTCTGGGGCACCATGATCTTGGGATCCAGTCCCTAAGGCTAGACTGTCCCAGGATGGAGAATATTATAACACTAGCTTCTAGATATCAACCACCGCCTCTGTTCCAGTGCGTTAGGTACATGAATCCTTCTAATTACTCTGCAAGGTGGGTTTTGTAAGTCCATTTAGCAGGTGAGAAAACTGACACTCAGAGAGGTTGAGCAATTTTTCCGTGATCACACAGCTGGTAGAACTGAGATCCCCATCACCTCTTTTTGAATCAGATGCGGACAAAACAACCCCAAATCATTTAACTTATTTACACTTAGAGTAGACGCTGAAAAAAGGGGAAGAGAAGGGGTCATGGGTGGGTATCTGGTATCAATGATGGCAATTACGTTCATCTGGACACACAGGAACCAAACCCACACCCGGATAAAGGGAAGAGAGTTTTGCAGATGTTCATTGCAAATCAGCAAAGCCAGCATCGCTGGATGCTTCCTGTGTGCAGGTGCTGGCTGGGCCTGGGTCCCTCTTTTTATGAACAGCCGGTTGATGTGAACCCCTTGATGGGGACCTCCGTCTAATGAGAGCGATGGAAGAGCTCATCTTCTCATTGAAAGGAGTGTTAAGTTCAATTTAATGAATATTTACCACATACTTATTGTAGGCCAGGCTTGACGCCAGGCACTGGGTGCCTGCAAAAGCAAGTCAGAGACCCTGCCTCCAGCTAATGAGGAGGGGACCGAAGTCCAGGAAGAAGAATTAGCACTCAAAGCCCTGGACAGTGGGCTTCCCTGACACCGCCCCACCGGCCTCCTTGGGCCAGATGAGACCTGTGATGCAGTTGGACGCAGGCCCCAAAGGCTTCACAGTCTGGTCCCCATCCAGCCCTGAGCCCTCCACCCTCTGCCCCATCTGTATGTAACGGAAACAGATGGGCGAGCTGGCCTCTGAGTCTCGTGCCCCTGCATGCAGACCCGGGATCTGGAGGAAGTGTGCCTGCCTGGCTTCAAAGCCAGGGCCCACCCTTTCCTCCAGGGTCAGCCTGGCTGTGGTGCTGTCTGGGCTGGTGGATGCCAAGTCTGTGCCTGGACATCAAAACAGTGCAGCCTCCCTCTTCCCTCATCTCTCCGCCTTTGTGGCAGAGAGCACATGGCCCACTCTGTGCTGGAGAGGGCAAAGCTTCACCTCTGGCGTGCGTGCCCTTCCTTCACGTGTCTCCCCCTCGTGCCGGGTTCCCAGGCGGCTCTCCCTGCAGCCCACGGCTTTTCCACCAGGCCCTTGCCTGAGATTCCACACCTAGGCTCATCGTCAGATTCACCTGGTGGGCTTCTCAGAAGCATCTGCTTCTTGTTTGGTCCCTCAAGAATGTTTCCAGAGGTTTTGGGGGAGCCTAGAGATCTGGTTTTTTGAGAGTGTCCTGGAGGATCCTGGCAACAAACCAGGCTGTAAGATGCATGTCCCAAGCCAGACTCCCCAAATGCACATTTTGCTGGGCTGCCGTCCTCTTGTGAAATGTTTCCCAGAAACTTTACCAGCAAATACTCCTTTTCTGGAGATTTGTGATCACAGTGACACAGCGAGGAACTGATGAGCCTTTGCAATAGGTTGCTGTTGTCTAAAGGTAAAAACGCTCTTTTGAGAGAAGATAATTTTTTTTCCTGGCATCACAACGTTTTTGTGTAGGACTAGAGAGGAAAGTCTTACTCCAGATGTTTTCTTACTTCTTCCCTCTTTTCCATAGACGCATACCTACCTTGTGCCCGTTCTTTCCACGAGTGTCATGGAATCATAAGGGGAAAATGACTGGAGAAATGAATCCTGTTCCGTTAATTAACTCATTAGTGAGTTCTCACCTCCCAGGAAAAATAGTTCTGTGATCCAGTTTAAATATTTACATTTCCATTATGCTTTTTAATCAAGGATCTTAACATTAGCAATATCAGACCTTATGACAGATGGAGAAGGGATCTGGGGGGACTATGAGCTTTTGAGAGCAAAATTTATTAATTCATTCAACCAGCCAACAACCAATCAACCAACCAACCACCCACTCATTCACTCACCCACCCACCAGCCAACCAACCAATCACCAGCTGCCTATAAACCACTACCATCTAAGCAATCAACAACCAACCAGCCAACCAACCACTCACCCACCTACCAACAAACCAACCAACCACTCACCCACCTACCAACAAACCAACCAACCACTCACCCACCTACCAACAAACCAACCAACCACTCACCCACCTACCAACAAACCAACCAACCACTCACCCACCTACCATCCAACCAACTAATCAACCACCAACCAACCAATTAGCCAATCACTGACCAACAAATCAAGCACCAACCACCCACCAACCAACCAACCAAAAACCACTCACCCACCAACCAGCCAGCCAACACACCACCCGCTAACCAATCAACCACTTACCCACCAATGAATCAACACTTTATATTAAATAATATGCCTTTAAACAGAAACACATAAAACAAAGTTATATATGGATTGGTTGACAAAAATGCTATGATCACGGCTGGTAGGAACATACCCCATATTTCTCCTGGGAGCAATGGTTCTGCATAGTTGTCTCTTGGTATCTTTGGGGGATTTGTTCCAGGACCTTCTGCGGATATGAGAATCCAAAGATATGCAAGGCCCTGATATAAAAGGGCATAGTGTTTGCATATAATCTATGCACACCCTCCTGTATACTTTAGATTATTTCTAGATTACTTATAACACCTAAATCAATGTAAATGCCATGTAAATAGTTGTTATACTGTACTGTTTAGGGAATAATGACAAGAATTAAAATAGACATGTTTAGTACACATGTAACCATCGTAGGCCTAACTACATTATCAATCCAGGGTTGGTTGAATCTGAGGTTTTGGAATCCATGGATTTGGTGATTGACTGTATTTGCTAATTCACTGTTCTTGGTGACTTTAGAGAACAGAAATACTGAGAATGACAAGCATTGACTGTACTTTGTCTAATACTGAGAACGAAGGAGAATAAATGAGAATTCAGGAAGCATAAAACAAATAAGTTTACAAAGTCTGAGATAAGATGGCATTTATTGATGATTTGCTTAGATACAGATCTCCTGGCCCTTAAATGTTAACTGCAGTTCACAGCCATGTTGTTTGAGCCCCTAGTTATTCTCCCTTCTAGCCTCTCTCCACGATTTGGGAAGAATTTGACACTTTTGTGGTCAAAAGCAAGAGAAACTGAGACTCTCTCTGAGGTTCACTGATAATTTTATTCTGTTTTTAAAAATAAGGCCACGACATAATAAAGTGCACAAATCTATACAGTTTGACGGACTTTTGTGTATGTATACAACCATGAAAGCATCCCTTGAACCAAGGTTTAGAACATTCCTCCTTAGATGGTTGTAGGTCTGAGAGACACACCTCCTTATACCTGGTGTATTCATCAGAAATGATCTCACCTGACTTTAGGAGAGTTATCACCTCCTATACCCATAGCAGGGATATGGTTTTTCTCTTCAGGCTCATTAACAAGTCCATATATTGATAAAAAAGATGTGAAAACATTCATATCATAAAACAAAACAAACCATGCAGATGGATAGGAAAAGAAGGGATATTCCCTTAAACTACGATGAAAGACAACACTGTTATTTACTAGTTAATGAGCTGATTCTTTGAAAATGATTAACTTCAAGAATACAGATGTTGAACAAGGTAGCATTCCTTCTTATCACTGGGCAAATATTTATGGGTGGTTATTTGAATGCTAATAAAATGTATTGAAATCAATACCTTCGTCATACTTTTTGGCTCGTAAACGTTTTGTTCATATCCTGGAGACTCATGTGTGTAGCACGTATTTCTCACTGGATGTAGTAAAGCTTATGGGGTGGCTTTCATTCGTAATTGTCTTCTGTGGATTTATGGCCAGCTTTTGTTTCAACAAAATCAACTACCAAAGAAGCTTGTGATCATGAGTTTGTGAGAAATCTTCAAAGTCGTTTTTGTTATAGGTGGTATTTAGTAGGTATTTGTTTGCTTGTTTGTTTGAGACGGGTCTGGCTGTGTCACCCAGGCTGGAGTACAGTGGCGCATTCTAGGCTCACTGCAACCTCCGCCTCCCTGGTTCAAGCAATTCTCCCGCCTCAGCCTCCTGAGTAGCTGGGATTACAGGCACACGCCACCAGACCCAGCTAATTTTTATATTTTTAGTAGAGATGGGGTTTCACCATGTTGGCCAGGCTGCTCTCGAACTCCTGACCTCAGGTGATCTGCCCATCTCGGCCTCCCAAAGTGCTGGGATTATGGGTTTGAGCCACTGCACCTGGCCTTTTTTTTTTCTTTTTTTTTTGAGAAAAAAAGATAGATATGTAATGATCTTGCATGATAGGTGTTTTGTTCTGTAGGGATCTCTGGCAGCCCCTGTTTTATCCGTTGGACCAACTGTCTGTAAAGGCAGGTCACTTACTTCTCTCTCCTGGGGAAGGACCTTTTGCCTTACCCAAAGCTCACTAGTCACAGAGTCGTCCTGGTGACAAAGACACGGATTGAAGCTGCACTCAGCACTCATCGCCGATCAAGGGAAGTGAGCTCATCTCACCTTGACTCACAGCGATGACAGGTCCAAGCCCGCCTGTGGGCCCGTTCCTCAGAGGAGGTTTGCAATGGGGGTGGGGGTTGCCATGGTGATGCCCAGTCAACAGAATGGAGAAAAGAGAAATTTGGTTTGAAATGAAATTTGAGTCTTGAGAGAGGGCTGATATGGAGAAGGAGAATCAAACAAGCCACGTGGGAGCATCTGAAGGCCTGGAGATGAGGGCCTGTTGCGTAACTGTGAAAATTTGGCCTTTAAAATAACTAGGCATGGGCCAGAAACCAGAGCCAGTGGCTGCAACCACCCAAGTGAGTGAAAGGGAGCTGGATGAGAAGGTGGGCGCGCCTGGTTTAGGGTCCTTGACAGTTCTGTCCAGATTGCGTTTGAGGGTGGGGTGTCCTCAGGGGACTCTGGTGAGTTGGGGGTGGGGAAGGCGGCTGACTCCTTGGGGGCTGGTCACCTTCAACAGCTGTTCTCCAGTGGCACCTTAAGAAGCAATGTTAGCAATGGGAGCTCCCCCGCCAAGATGAGGGTGGTCGGTACCCAGTGACTTTCAAAGCCAGCAACCAAGGGATCTCACAGAAGTCCATCAGCCTGAAGGCAGGCATCCGGGAGATGACTAAAGCCAGGCAATATAGGCAAGAGGTACCCTCAGAACCCCCTCGAGTTGCCCCACTGTTCCTTTCTGTGCTGCCTGTGCGTGCAGCCTCTGAGTTCCTTGTGTCCTCGGGAGGTGGAGTATGCATCCCTGTGGGCTCATCCGTCCTCGTCCCCATCATCCTCCCTGGCACCATGCAGACTCTGAGCTTCTGCCCGCCCCACCCAGGTGTCTCATCCCTCCTGCCTCGGGGAGCCTGGCTGAAGAGCGGGCGCCACCCTGAGCCACCCCTGCCCAGTCAGAGCAGCTCTGGTCCGAGGCTTCACCCCAGCAGACAGGCTCCTTAAGCCTCTTTAATCTGCACGGAGGAAATTCAGAAATCCAGTCATCCTGAAACCGTCTTCTTCCGGGGCAAGACAGAACCCGTGTGTGTGGGTGGATGAGTGTGGATGGTGGGAGTGGAGGGCATATTTGTCCTCGTGCTCAGCCCAGAACTTCCCAGATGTTCAGGCCAATCAGGGTGAACTCTTGAACTTTCCTGGGCCTCTGATGCCTGGCTAGTGCCTCAAAAAGCCTCATCCATGGGTGCTTTAAAAAAAAGACTTGAGGTTCCTTTACAGACACAGCTCATTCTAGAAATCTTCCAGCCCCAACATCACCAAAGGCAAAGAGAAGAAGGAAACTCACTATTCTAGCAGTCGCTGGGCCGAGACTCTGTTAAGCCATTTTATGGGCCGTCCCCTAAAACACGACAGTTCTGCCAGGCAGGTGTGGCAGAAGCAGGGCTGTGCATTTTCCAGAACACTGCAGCTTCAGCATGTCCTGCCTCGCCTCCCCTGGTTTCCAGCCAGGGCCCCTGGGAGTGATGCTGGAGGACACCACCTCCAGGCTGTCCCCCAAACCTCCTACCCAATACTCTCACTCTCTGTCTTCACCTGTTGACCACTTTAGGGCAGGAGATCCAGAGGGGGACTACGGAGCTCAGTGGAGCTGCGGCTTGGGAGAAGCCCACCCAAGAGAACCATATAACTAGAAACCATCACATGCGGCTTCGTGTGAGGGAGAAGGAGGTGTTTCATTGCACGGGGTTACTGAGATCTGGGGTTGTCTGTTATTGCAGCGAGGACTCACCCTAACACACGAGGTGTTATATGCATTTTACAGATTGCCAAGATGGTACAGAAAGAAGAAGTGGCAAAGCAACACTTAAACTCAAACCTGCCCAGCTTCAAAGTCCATGCCCTTCCCCGGGCTTCAGACTGCCATCTTCGATGTTATCTTTCATTGAGATGTTGTTTGCATTAAATGGGGGATCTTCTGGCACACGGTGGACATTGCCCAGCACCTACTCTTCCTAGGGTCAGCCTTACTCTGTCGGGTCAGGCTTTGAACATCTGGGACGTGAAGGTGGCTGACGAGGCCCCTTCGACAGCCAAGTTGGGGCACAGTCTCCTCCGGACATCCTTACTCCTTCACAGTCTCATTGCAGGTGGGGAGGAAGCTGGAGGGCTGATTTAGAGGACAGAGATACAGAGTGAGCAGAGGATGCTTGGCTGCAGTTGCTCCAGAGTTTCCAGGGAGAAAACACAAGCATCGCTGAGCAGCCTTTAGGGGCTGGCATGTTCAGCTGGGCACGTGTCCACAACGAGGCATCACGCGCAGTCTGAGCTGAGCTCTAGTCTCTGGGTTTCAGGACTTTCAGCACAGTCCTGGCCCTTCACGTTTAGTCTGGGTGATCAGGGACGTAAACCAGCCATGGCAAGGTGGTGAAGCACCACCATGGAAGGGCACCAGCCGGGCCCTGGGGTCACAGAAGTGTCCCAGGAAGTGCAGCTGTTAAGCCTGGTGAGAGGAGAGCGAGCCAGGGGGACGGCGAGAGACAGGCATGACGGGGCGGTGAGTGTGTCCGCTGCTGAGCATGTCTGAGACAGCAGGCGGTCACCAAAAGCTTGTAAGCAGAGGTGACACCCTGACTTGTGGTTTGGAGAGATCACGGTGGCTGCCGTGCAGGGACGGAATGGAGGCTGCTCCAGTGACCCCGGCCGTGGGCAGTGGGTGGGTGAGGGGACAGAGGAAGGTGGATGGAGTTGCTGCCCCCAAGCCCCTGCTGAGAAAGTGCCCACGGGGCCTGGCGGGGTGTGAGTCGCAGTTGGGCTGATGTGCCTGGCTCTGCATCTGTTTTGTGAGCTGGAAGGGACAGCCTGCGCCCTGCTCCTTGGATGGACACCGATGCAGTAGTGAGGGCCTGTCTCTGAAGCTCTCTGAGCAACCAAAGGAAAGGTGGCCCCTGGGCTCAATACAGAGATATTGGGGCTGATGCGGCTGGAGGGGTGGGTGTGCAGGCCCTGCGGGGAAGGAGACTTCCAAACAGACGGCTGCCCCACGGGGAACCTGGCTGGGGCCAGTCATTCTCAGAGTCAAACCATCTTCATTCAACTCCGAGGCTGCCCCAGGCCAGTAGTGTCCTTCCTGAGAGCCCTTCCTGCGAGATTTATGAGCCAGAGCCCGGGCTGGGATCACAGAAAGCTAGAGAATGCCTTGGCTGCCCAGGGGAGTCTGGAATTCCTTCAAAACTAAGCTTCCAGACGTCCCTCTGGACTCCTCTGTCTGAAGACCGGCACTTTAAAGGCCCAAGAGAGAACTCCCATGACACCGTTTTCCTACCTCCCATCTCACCTCCCCGGTGGCTCCCCATTTCCGGGACCTCGGCTTGGCAGGACGCCTCCGGGACCTCACTCCTCTGAGATGCACTGCAGACCTTGCGGGTGACAGCAGCGTTTTGCTGACTCAGAGGCAACTGCCACGATGACCCTCCAGCCTGTGTCCAGATCTGGGGCAGCGACTTGGACAGGGGGGCAGCAGAAGCCGGGTCTGTGAGGGGCCCTGATGGAGGGTTGCATAAGCCAGGTCTGTGAGGGGCCCTGATGGGGAGCAGAAGCCGGGTCTGTGAGGGGCCCTGATGGAGGGTTGCATAAGCCGGGTCTGTGAGGGGCCCTGATGGGGGACAGCAGAAGCTGGGTCTGTGAGGGGCCCTGGCTGGCTTACTGGAATTCGCTCAACTTCGAAGGCTTCAATTCCAACTCTGTCTGGTTTTGTTGGACTAGGAACACACAACCAGCCAAATCTTGGTTACTAGAGGGTGCCGGAGATCAAGCAGAGAAATGAAATAAAGAGAGAAACCCCAAGCGGTGGTGTTAACATGCATTGGGGCCTCTTGCCCCAACGGCAGTCTTACTTTTTTTTTTTATTTCTCGTCCACATTTTGTTGGAAAATTTTGCACATTCATAATAGCAAACAGAATATGGCAATAAGCTTCTATACACACTATTATCAAAAGTTTTCAGTTCATAATTAACCTTATTTTATCAATATTCCCCATATTCCCCCATGCTGTTTCTTGGCAAATCTAGATGACCCATTATTCCAGCCTTAAAAATGTCAGTATGTAACTGACCAAAGCTTTTTATTAGAATTGCTAGGTATGGAGGAAATTTCAGTTTCTATGACTACGCCTAGTAAAGTTTGAAAAGAAAACGACGGAGGAAATAGACATTGACAATTCATATTGAATAATTGCACAGAGACAGTTCCTTTATTTGAGGCTAAACTGAGACAGAACCTCAGATACCCTCACTCACTCCTCTCTGGCTGAGAGGGGAGGAACTTTCGTCTGGGTCGGGGAGCAATGAGGTGGGAGTTTTGTGCTTCGGTTCCTGGGGTGGAGATAGAAGGTAATAGGTAGCAGTCACTAACTGGCCCCATAAATGGTTTTGTGAGGCAGCAGCAGCTGTTTTGTGGGGGATTTGTGAGACTCTGAGGGAGGAGGAGGGAGGCCTCACGCACAACAAGGTGGCCCCCAGAGTTTGGGTTTTGGGAACCCTGGGAGACAGCGGCCATGGTCTCTGGTTCCCCTCACAGGAGCTCCAGGAGCAGTGGCCGTGGTCAGATGACAACAAAGGTGGTCAGGATCCCGAGGACAAAGAGATGCAGCCGTGGCTGCTGGGCGTAGCTGGTAGTCTGACGACAAAACACTACAAGACATCCCTCAGGTACCGTGCGTCCTTTAGAGACACTTCCCTCCACAGGGATGTGGCCCTCAGGTGTCTGTCCAACCCGAGAGCTAGCTGTGAAACGGACTCAGTGTGGAAGTACAGTCAAGGGGAGGGCTGGGGCCATGGTCGGGAGTGGAGGGGGTTGCCTGCAGTGCCTGTGGACCTTGGGGGAGGGGCACCAGGAGAGGGGAACCTGGGGGGGATACCAGGAGAGGTGGACCTAGGGGGGACACCAGGAGAGGGGGACCTGGGGGGGACACCAGGAGGGGGAGACCTGGGGGGGATACCAGGAGAGGGGGACTGAGGGGGGACACCAGGAGAGGGGGACCTGGGGGGATATCAGGAGAGGGGACCTGGGGGGAATACCAGGAGAGGGGGACCTGGGGGGGACACCAGGAGAGGGGGACCTGGGGGGGACACCAGCAGAGGGGTCCTGGGGGTGATACCAGGAGAGGGGGACCTGGGGGGATACCAGGAGGGGGACCTAGGGGGGATACCAGGAATGGGGGACCTGGGGGGGATACCAGCAGAGGGGGACCTGGGGGGGACACCAGGAGGGGGAGACCTGGGGGGACACCAGGAGAGGGGGACCTGTGGGGGACACCAGGAGAGGGGGACCTGGGGGGGATACCAGCAGTGGGGGACCTGGGGGGACACCAGGAGAGGGGGACCTGGGGGGACACCAGGAGGGGGGACCTGGGGGGATACCAGGAGAGGGGGACCGAGGGGGGGACACCAGGAGAGGAGGATCTGGGGGGACACCAGGAGAGGGGGACCTGGGAGTACACCAAGAGATGGGGACCTGGGGGGGACACCAGGAGATGGGGACCTAGGAGGGATACCAGCAGAGGGGGCCTGGGGGGGACACCAGGAGAGAAGAATCTAGGGGGACACCAGGAGAGGAGGACCTGGGAGTACACCAAGAGACGGGGACCTGGGGGGATACCAGGAGAGGGGGACCTGGGTGGGACACCAGGAGGTGGAGACCTGGTGGGGGGAATGCCAGGTGAAGAGGACCTGGTGGGTAACACCAGGAGAGGAGGACAGGGGTGGGGGGACGCCAGGAGAGGGGTGGGGCTTGGAGTCACTCTGCCATCTTGGGCTCCTCAACTTTGGGACACCAGCTCAGCATGTCTGAGACTCGGTTTCCTCATCTGTAAATAGAGTGATCTCCCCACAGAGTGTTTGTGAGGATTAAATGATTAATTCCAGAAAAAGGCTTAAAGAAATGCCTGCCTGGTGCTGGGCCCACAATAAAGCCGGCGTCGTTACTCCTGCTGCGGTCACTGGCAGTGTGATGACCACAGCACGGGCAGGAGGGACACGGCCCACGGGGGGTCCAGCCTCCTCAGCACCTGCTCCAGGGCCCTTCCTGTCACCTCCTGGCTTCTTTGTGAACGTCCTGCTCCAGCACTGTGTGGCCGCCTGTCCCCATTACTCCTGCACCCCACATTCCTTTCTCCTCACCTGGGACCCTCTTCCTCCCCTCTCTGCGGTGGAGGCTCCCAGCCTTCTCCAAGGGCTTCCTAGGAAGTCACTTGCCCTCCGAAGCATCTCACGCACCCTCCGGACACCCTCACCCCTCCACAGGGCCTGTGGCTCCCCAACCAGTGGGTGATGCTGTCCTATCGCTGGACATCAAGGCTTTGAGGGCCCGTGTTACCCCCAGGCAGGGCCGTTAGTCCTGTAGGCTTGGACTCTGTCTTATTCATCCAGCCCCTGCATGCCGGGCACGGGTCAGGGCCTGGGTTGGGTGCTCAGGAGATGTACTCAGATCTGAACATCAGATTGGAGAATTCTGTAAACACATAGGATGCAGGGTGAGCAACTGTACGGGACATGAGCGAAGTCCTCTGGGAACCTGAGACGCAAACTCTCGAGTTCATTTTCACACCTTCCATGGTGCACACTGCATATACCAGCAGGTGCCCCCAGACGCACAGCTGAATGACAGAGAGAAGTGACCCCGTGCAGGCTTCATCTGACTCCCTCCACACGACGGAGTCCACGGCCCTGGGTAAGCCCCTCCTGGAGGGTCTCCCTGAGTTCTCTGCCAGGTCTGGACCCAGGACAGTCCTCTAGGGGGATGGGTGTGTTGACTTCCAGATGTAGAGTGTGGCCTGTATCTGCCCCTCTCTGGGTCCCACCCTTCTGGGACTGTCTCAGCTTTGAGGAAAGGAAGATGGATGTGGTCTGGTCCGGTCTGTGCCTCACCATAAGATGTCATGCTCTTGGCCACTGAAGATTTTCCCTAGTCTCTGGAGCTCCAGCCAAGCTCT